AATCTTCTTCTGTTAACGGGTCAGTGCTGGAGAACAGGCGACTTTTAATAGTTTTAGGAGACAGAGTTTTCTTCTAAGGACCCATGAAGGGGTACAAATAACTAAAAAAGGGAGGCACACTTAACTAAGAAACTGAATAATAGAATAAATTTTTTTTTTTTTTTAATTTGGTAATAATAGTTTAGGGGATAGATCAATAAACTAAAGTTAAGTATGGAAGAAATTAGATTACAATAATTGAATTAATAAACTAAGGAAAGTGTGCTGTCCTGTGTAAAAAGGAAAGGTTTGAAGTTCAGTCGAAAATATAGGCGTTAACACAAAAAGTAGGCGAGGTAGACTGCCAACACAGGCAGAGAACAGTGTAGAAGAACTGGCCGCCCCAAGCTGGGTAGAACCAGAATAGGACCGGTAAACAGCTGCACAGGTAACCTGCCCCCCTAGCTGGAAAATTATTTTTTCTTTCCACTGTTTTATTATTTTCTACTGTGATCGGAACTCTTTTTTTCATCCGCAAATGTCTTTTTGTGGAGCTCCTGCATCGAATGATTAAAAGCTGTCTTTTTTTTTAGTCCACAATTGTTTGCTGTCGGAGTTTGATTCCATCGTCGGATCAAAACTAATTTATCAGTCCGTCTGAAGAACTTTGAGGATGAAAAGACAAACTGTTTCTTCCAATATGAAATCAAAAAGGATGATAAAAATCACTCATTTGTCAAATCTTAGCCAGTTTAATTCATTGCTTCAAGGTGTAAGCACGCTGCTCAATTTGTTCAGAAAGTTTCTACATGATGAGATATGCATGACTTGTATAACAATTGCAAACATTTTTAAGTCATGGAATGCTCTTTATGGATAATAATAAAGAATTTTCCATGATTTAGCTGATTAGCATTAATCATCAATCTTCAACTTCAACCCTCAAAACAGTCAACAATTCAGTCATTAATCTAAATGTGAAAATATCCCTGATTATTCTATGATATCTATTAATATAATTGTAACAATGCAAAAATTGGCCTTTCACTAGATTTAATAATTATTGTATAGATCATGTTTAGAAATATGCAAGAAAATATTGAATAGAAGGAGGGGGCAATAAGGTTTCTGTACACTTTGCTGTGAGGTTTTTGGACTGCTGAAGAACTTTTTTGCGTAGCAATAATTTAAAGATTGTAAACAATAACACAAATGATAAACAAACATCTATGGGGGGGGGGCAGGATAACCTTGAGTTTGATTGAAAATGTCTCTGTAATAATTGGTCTTTTTCGTATAAAACTATAATCCTTAACTTTTTCAATCTTTTTTAACAATTGATAATACTACTTTCACAGTTTATACTAACTCATGTTATGTTTACATTAGATCGGCTGCCTTCTATTCAATATCTCCTTGGAAATATGTGTTTAAATGAACATTGATAGATACAGGGTGTCCCATGAAACATGACAATAGCAAGACGACTTGAAAGTCGTCTTTGATATTTGAATTTATTTTTGACATTTATTCTTCTATCTACTTTAACATGTATGATACTTCAATTATCTTGTTTAAGTTACACATTGGACTGAACCAATCATGGTGTCTATGAAGTTCAAATATGCTCCAATAATATGTAATTTTTATGTTTGTAAACTTTTTAAATAATTTTGATTCCATTTGATTTTTAACAATGGTAAGATGAGAAAGTTCAAATTTAACATTACATGGATTCCTCTAATTTTTTATAAGTATTTTTCAGTTTTGGAAAAACTTGTTTTGTTTTACATGAAATTCAAATGATTCATACTAAAACTCAAGTTGATGATTTAGTTTATTTTTTATTTTTTATTTTATTTTGTTTTATTTTAGAAGCATAAACAAAGAAAGCCAATGATAAACAGGATTTAAATTGTTAATTTATTAATCATTAATTTCTTCTCATCAAACTCTAGGATGGCCATTGAAGATATATTGAACTGAGAGTTTTAATAAGTTTAAAAAAAAAAATCCTGAGAACATAAGATTGAAAATTTGATAGCTAGGGTTTCCTTTCATGTCTGAGAGATGCAGATCAGCAGAATGATCAAGGAGCTGAAGTCCTTGATGCACTAGGGTTGATAGTCCTATAAGCCTAAAAAAACAGCAAGAAAAAATTCTGTGGCAGTTCAAACTTAGGATTGTACAATGCATAAACAAAAATTATTTGCAGGTGCATGTTAAGAAAAGTACTGAACAAAAGATTACGTTTTTGTTTCAATTTTCAATCTTTTCAAACCATGAATTAGGAAACAAATGTTAAAGGGAGTGACTGGCAATGTATGGTAGTTGAACTAAATATGTTGTATTTTAAACAAATTTTTTATGATTTAACGACATGTATTTACTGAGTATGATTTCAAAGTCAACTTTCAAAATCATTTTTTGGGTGGATACGTTATGAGAATTGTTTTTATTTCTTAAATATTAAGTAACAACAACTAAAAATAAAAAAATTAGAAATTAACTCAATTATCATCAAAATAAATGTAATATCTTAATTTTAAATTTTTTTGGTCATTAAAAGTTTTTTAAATTTTTTGTGTATTTTTCGCAGATTTTTGAAAAAGTTTAATGTTGTGTGGCACTATTTTCATCTACGTGCAAGTCACAACAACAACTAGTTTGGAATGAGCGAAAAAAAATTAATGTCTCCATTCATGTAGATTTTCAATTGAGGATTCACGTAAAACAAAATTTTAAGAAATGAGGGTAAATCTAATTTTTAAATATTTTTTGATCTTGTTTTTAAATAATTGAAAGTGAACAATTCTCAAAATATATCCACCCAATAAGATGATTTTAAGTTAATTTTGCAATCAAACCCAGTAAATATACAGTATAGTTTTATATGTCTTAAATGAATCATAAAAAATTCTCCACAATGCTACATATGCAAGTCAACCACCATAGATTGCCTGTCACTCCCTTTAAACCATCAAGATAGGCTCCAATATTCCACCTAGTAATTGTCACTTTTAAAATATTTCAGAAAAATTTTAATTTTTGAAATATTTAAAATGCAATTTTTTCATAATCACATCATAATTGTGAAATCATTAGATATGACCACAATTGATAAATTTTTCAGTAAAAATATTTTACAATTATAAATATTTATGCATTTTCTCTTCATCTTAAATGATATATATTAATAGTATAAGACATTCTTTGAAATACATGCAGTTTCGTTTTCTTCCTTTCCAATATCTATGTCAGGAATCCATGTGTTATCAGGTTTTTTTCCTTCTTTTGCTAATTTGTCACGAACACTTTCAACTTCCTTAAATACCCGAAGTAGGTTCCCATTAGCCAACTTTCCCAGATCTTCATCTGTCCACCAAAACTCTCTGTCCTTAATAAGAGCAATAAAAAGATTTGGATAAAAAGATACATCAGAAAGTTCAGTTGGGGTGACATCTACTCCATTGTAATCTGCACCAATCCCTATATAGTCAACACCAGCAATTCTTCTTATGTGATTAATGTGCTTTACCACATCTAGAACTGTTGCATTTTGAGTTTTATAGTCTGGAACCAAGAAGCCAGAGTAAAAATTCACCATTACTATACCTCTGTTTTCTTTAACCATCCTCAAAACATCATCAGGAACATTTCTGGGATTTTTTACAATAGCTCTTGCACTAGAATGAGAAAACATTACTGGAGCAGAAGAGGCCCTAATTGCTTTTCTCATAGCATCAGAAGACACATGAGAAAGGTCTACTATCATGCCAAGTCTGTTCATCTCTTGAACTATTTTAACTCCAAAATCACTTAGACCATTGACTCGTGGTGGAAAAGCTCTACTTTCTACTTGTGCAGCATCTACCCAGGGGGTATTGCAGCCATGAGTCAAGGTCATATATCTGACCCCAACTCTATAAAATGTTCTCAGAATGGCCATACTGCTAGCAATAGCATACCCACTTTCCACACCAATCAAGCTAGCTATCTTGCCCTTTATCATTGCTCTTTCTATATCATCTGCACTTTCTGCCCACATTAAATCTTTTGGGTATTTATCAACAATTTGATGAATAAGATCTATTTGTTCAAGGAACTTTTGAGTTGCATCCTTGTACTGACTGTTGCAGCCAATATATGCAGACCAAAATTGACCTCCCAATTTTCCTTTTCTCATTCTAGGTATGTCAACATGGTTAAAATCAAAAGAAGCCCAGGGTTCTTCCTTTGTCAAGTCCTGATCAAAATTAAGAAGACACATATCGCTGTTCAATAGGGCCCGTACTGATAATGGGAAATCATTATGTCCATCAATTATTGGGTGCCTTGTAAGAACTCTGTCAACTCTTGATGCAGGGCTTTCTTGATATCTCCATGTATGAGAAGTGTTTATAAGAAGTAGTATCATCACCACGAGCATTGGCAGTAGTTTCATTTTACTGTCTTATGCAATTCTTCTTTAACTAAACAAATACAATGTAATAAGATATGTTCAAAAATAGATTACATAGAAAAAAATAAAGGTTTATTTAGCAAACTAAAAATGAACATTTTTAAATTTTAGTCAGGCCTAATTCCCTGCCTTAAAGTACCTATGCAAATTCACTTACAAACAATTGCTATTTCATTCTTGGTTTCCAATACTGAAGATGTAAAGGTAAGTATGGGTCTCTATAATCAAGGGCACCACTAACATTTTGAAACAAGTTGTAGTCAATAGTTTTTATAATAAGTACAGAAGATTACTTACTTTCTCCTGGATGAAATACGACTCCAAGATGTTTGCAGACTGTATTAATTGCAGATATTTAATTAATAGATTCATAATTATCAAAGGGTGTTCTAAATGATAATTAGCCAATTTCATAAATAAAATTCTGATATCACTGACCAACATCACCAGCCTATAATTCCCTAGAATGCATAATGGTGGGATTATTAGTTATTTAAATAAGTGAAACAATATTCCACTCTGTAAAGTTATGTGAAAAATTCACACAGTTTAAAATAGAAAACTTAATTCAGGAGGAGACTTTTCTGTTTGTTGTGTTATTGAAAGTGTATGAAACTGAAAATCCTTTAATTTTGTAGAATTGATTAAATGTTGCTGTAGCAATGAAACAAAGTAAAATCATGAAAGCACATTATTTTTCTATGTTTGCTCAGTTGTATACCTTTTGAACATACAGAGTCTTGTTGGATACTCACCATAGTCAGCAACCTCTGCTCACTGCAGGATTTAAATATAATCATGAATATTTCCTTTCTTCTGTTTTCTGCTCTTCAGTTAAGGTATTTATTGTTTTATTATTATTTATATTATTTACAGTGGGAAAAAGTTACAAATTTCGAAATGTCATCCCAAGTAACAAAAGAAATTTCCCCAGAATCTCCAACCATGGTGATTTTCTTTGAAGAATTTCTTGAAAATCATTTCCTGTAACTGATTCCTTGGAAATTCTTGATAAATTCCTCAGAATTGGTCCCCAAGATGAGAGATTTTTGTGGGATCACATTTTTGAGACTCAGTTTCGAGAAATTCCTGAGAAATTCTTCGGAATTTTTCTCCACTAAATTCCTCAGAATTTCTCCAGAATACTTCTCCAGAAATTCCTGAGAAATTCTTATGACTTGGTCACCATGTTTACGGGTTTTTAGAGGAATTTATTCAAGAATTAGTTTCAAGAAACTCCTGGGAATTTCTCCCGAATTTCACCCAAAAAAAATCCAGAGAATTTCTCATGATTACTTCTCCGGAAATTCCTGAGAAATTCTTAGGACTTGGTTACCATGTTTACGGATTTTAAGGGGAATTCAATAAAAGAATTAGTTTCGAGAAATTTCTGGGAATTTCTTTAGAATGTCACCCCAAGAAATTCCTGAAAAATTCTCCAGAATGCTTCTCCAGAAATTCCTGAGAAATTATTAGGACTTGGTCACCAAGTTTACGGATTTTTAGGGGAATAAGTTTCAAGAAATTCCTGAGAATTTCTCTGGAATTTTTCTCAAGAAATTCCTAAGAATTTCTCAGGAATATTCATCACAGAATTTTCAAGTACAGTTTTGTTCTAATTGGTGTCTCTGAGGTTTCCTTCGATTATGCACTGCCCTAACTAAATACTTTTTTCTTTGCATCCTTATTGTTATATATAAATTTGGCTTGTCTGTCTGTTTGTTTGTCTGTTTGTTTGTATCCAATAAACGTCAAAACGGCTGAACCGATCTGGCCCAAATTTTTTGTGGGACATCTAGGGACTCCAGGGAAGGTTTATGAATCATCAAAATTTCTAATATTTGTCTCCATCAAAATTTGATCGTTATTAAATTTTTTAAAATTTTGAAAATCCGCGAAATTTTTTGTAAAAATCCGCGAATTATTTTTCTTTAGTTTTACGATGTACACAAAGAGAACATGTTCACAATTAATTTAGGAGATGGGCGCGAAGCGCCCTCTTAGGCTAGAAAGAAGGGCGCAAAGCGCCTTGAATTTCTAGTATTGTTATAAAATGATAATTTACTTTAGAACCTTCATTTTAAAAAAATGTTTTGAAAATTTTTTTATTTTTTTTATTTTTTCTTGACAATTCAGTTGTCTGAATAAACAAAATACATGACTACTTCAGTGAGATCAAAAATGACTATAACATTCTGACTTAGGAAGATGGTTATACTTCTAAAAAGTTGGAGGTACAATATAGTTGTTAAGTTATTCACTACTATTGGGCCTAAGTCCTGTTAAGTGAATTTACTAAGGAATATGCTCAGAATATTTCAAGATATTCCTAAGAACTCGACTTTTGTTGACATTTTCTACAGTTTTTCTGCAGAATTGGTAACAAGAAATTCCCTGGAATTGGTTACAAGAAATTCTTTGGATAAAGTTATGAGAGCTTCCTCGGAATGGGTTACAAGAAATCTTGGACGGAATGGGTTACGAGAAATTCCTCTGAATAGTTGTCGACATTTTCACCGGATTTTCCTGTGAAAGATTCCTGGATATTTCCACGGATTCCCAGGAAAGATTCCTAGGATTTTTTGCGGATTTTCTGCAAAATTGTTACTTGGGATGTGATTTAATTAGGTCAAGGAAAACAAAATTGATTGCATAATATTATTTTATTATTTTAAATTTTGATTATTAATGATACTATTTTGAAACATTTTACAATTTCAAATCAACTTCATACTTTGAGCCGAAAACACCTTTTAGGACATTTCAACATTTCAACATTTCGCCATTTTGCTGATTTTGAATGAACAGAATATCTACTAGCTGGGTCGACACCACATTTTTTTTGTGGCCATTTTTTTGTATCACGGGTAAATCCTTGTGCGTTTTAATCATGCAAAAATTGGACCAATTTGAGAAAATGACAATTAAAAATGTATAAATCATAGTCTGTGCTATTGTTAAAAAACATAATAATCTCTAATTATTCTGATATAACTGTTCGAATGTTCTTGCATTTGTATTAACATAGAAATATGACTAACTTTTATATATAAATATATCAATATATTCAATAATAACATTATTATTTTATTAATTAACACACTGTGTCATGCTTTATGCAATCATCAGTATGATATATATATCTATATATACACTTGATTGACCTCATGGAAGGTTTATGACAGGTACAAATTAACTAATTGGACCAAGAAAATTTTTTTTTTATTTATGAAAATGCACTCATTTAAACTGGAAAATCCACAAAGATTTTTCAGTTCAGAATACAATGAAAAATGGCAACTTGAAGAGCAAAAATTTACATGTAAAAATGGTTTACTAGAAATGGAGCCTAAAGCCATAAATCTCAAAATAGGCTAGGTTATGGATAGAGTTTCTATTATTACAGAAAACTATTTCAATTTTATAAAAGCAGGAATAAAAGATCTGAATGAAAATCACAAAGTAACTAAAGTAACATGCATAATAAGTTGGTGAATGAACTCAAGTTGAGATATAGTCAAGTTAAAGTGGAGTTTAGGGAATCTTGTTGTTAAATCCAATTCTGGTTAGGACCTAGATTTAACTCATTGATTTTTTCTCTCTTTCACCTAGAGTGGCTGCCATACCCTTTCTCATATTAAACTACATTTTTTGGGTGGGATAGGGGGGGGGGGGAGGGGAAACTATTTTGAAAGAAATAAGAGCGGATAGAGTATATATTCAAATTAATTTGCTTTTTAGCTCGGGCTAAAATGAAAACTAGAGATGATATGTGGTATTCTCGAACCACTAAAACGTGCAATAAATTGGTATCTTAAAATTCACACTTAATGAGATTTTGCTCAAGTACTCTAACTTGTTTCATCTATCATTTGTGTAACCTGATGACATTGCAGATCGGGTTAGTCCTTCTTGCGGGACTAACTCCTCATGCGCCGTCTATATCTTTGCAACCTGGCATTACAATACTTCAGCTGTCTCTATATATAGAGAGGTAGCCTTATATGTCTGAATGCATGTGCAAATCTAAACACCCAAGTAATAAAGTCATTATTACATCATGAATACATTTATTAATACATTTAATCATACATTTATAAATGCATACATAATTACATAGAGATCAAAGTATAATACTAGCTATCGATCCCTTTATATATATTTAAGGTTTCTCAGCATGGTTTTCAATGATCTGATCAGTCAGGATATTATTGCGTGCAGATAAGATCATTATATCGATCAAACCTTCCACAATCTCCTGATCTTCTATTTTCCAGGTTTGACGGGTTACCCGCTCCTTCATCTTATGGAGCAAGTTCCACACCTGGTTGTACAAGCGAGAAATGACAACACTTCTGCTTATATCAGGATAGAGATTGAGCTCTCTGTCCCAAGCTAACTCTGTGTCCCACAGTTTATTGTCGGGGACCACAGGTGGCTGACTGGGATTGATACTTCCCTACATAGTGGAGTTGAACGTTTGTATCTTCTCCGACAACTCGCCTAGGAAGTTATACATATCCTCCCTCTCTCCTCGTCCTCCTTCAGCTCCACCAGCCACAACCTCTCCATCTGCTTTCTCATCCTCTGAAGCAGGAACAGTAATGATTGGGGCGTTCCTGCTTATGAAGGGAGCAATGTCTGCTGGATCAACATCTCCGTCTGACTCCGGTTCTTCAACGTGGGCAGGGTTCTGTATGATAGCATGAACCTGGTTCATCTTCTCCAAGGTAGATCTCGTTCAAAAGGATACTCTCTGTATGCTGTCTGTGCGCTATATGTAACACGGGTCCCTGGACGGCTATGTGCAGTGTGACTTGTGTCTACTCTGCAGCGGTCCGGGATGTACTGATCTCTCTGGCGTCCTGTTGGATTCAAGGGACTGTTCACTCATATACCGAACAATCCAGAATACGACAGATATAACAAGGTCACAAAGATATATCAGAAAAATTGCATAAATTATACCTTATGTCTAATTGAGTGTGGAAAAGTAATGATTGTTTACTAAAGACTGGGCTACAAAGGGGCCCTAATAGGGCATTAGACATATGTAAATAATATCAATATTCCAAAATGTACACGTGATAATGAAGTGGTAAGTACAATAATGTATCAAGGTGTATGTAAGAAATCAAGTTGTATTGTTCTAAAAATGGTTTTTATTAAAAATTTTCAACTTATCATATTTCTGAAATTAGAAAGGAAGCAAAAATGGGTTATTTTTAAGTTTTTTTTTCCAAGCTCTTTTTCTTCGTATATTTTCAAGTTGAACTCTGCAACCTGGCACAACTAGAATGATGAGATATTTTCATATTTCAGGTTATCTTTGGCAGTTGTGTCACAAGGGTTTACAAGAATTCAAGCACCTGAAGAAGCTCTAGAGCTAAATGTGGTTCAAGGTAAATTAGTGTCCCTGCTTTTTATTCGATCTATTTGAGGACTTCAAAAAAAAAATAAAATGTCCTTGTTAACAACTTACATTATTCTTCTACGCTGATTTTTTTGTATTTATAGGAAAACCAAGAAAATCTAGCCTAGAATGTGCTTTTGCTTGTCTATCCGTTATCGGTAATTTAAAATAATATTTAAATTTTTTGTTTAACCATGAAACTATTCTAATAACTTTTTATGTAAAGCAAACTGGCAGCTGTACCGTCTTTGTTTTTGATATCTCTACATCTAACTGCTCTGTTGGAGTTCATAGGTAGCAACTAAATAACGAGCATAGGGCAATCTGAACATTTATAAAAAAAAATAATAACATGCAGCAAAAATAATTACCTACAAAAATCTTTTTTGAATATTTTTTGATTCTTTAAAAAATGAGCAAGCGCAAGTATTTAAAAATTAACAGATCACTATGGACTACAGAGAGGTTTTCGGCATTTAAAGTTGCACCTTGAAAAACCGAAAAATGCCTTTAAGCTAGTTTTCTGCTGAAATTTTGAAAATATTTAGTATGGGGGTCAAATTTTTGAAAATTTCTTGAATTCATGTTAAAGAAATTTTGACTTTTTGCTCAATCCACTTAAGTTTTAAAAAATTTGGAACCCCATAGAATTCCTTAAAACCCCTAAGAGCTGCAGCCCCACTGTCCATGAAAATTTTATGATCCCGTTTTCAGAGAGCTTGAACGACGAGACATAGAGAAAATGGAGACGTTAGGAGGAAAAATAGAATTGTGGCTAGTTGCTCAACCAAGTAATTTTTTTTTATCAGAATTATATCATGATTAAATTGATGATTAAACTTTGTTGTAATGATAAAAATTGGGTAGAATTTTATTCCATGTACATTAAAATTAAATAAAATTTTTTAATAGATTCAAACTTTTAATTTTATTCCTAATACAAACTAACAAAGCAATTTAAAATTATTTTTCCTTCTTTAAAAAAGTCCAATTTAAAAATACAGTTCTTAAAACTTTTACTTTATGAAAAAATGAACAAATGTCTGCTTTGGCTAACATTTTCTTTAACCTCCCCCCCCCCCCTATTCAAGAACATTGTTAGTAAAAAAGGATTTTTTTCTGAAAGGAAATGACTAAAATATTCATGACAAGGAATTCAACACTTGCCACAAACTATGATTTTGCAATCCCTATTTTTTCCAGAAGCAATTTAAAGTTATAATTAGGGTTTCCCAATCTCATTCGCGAACATTTTTGTCAAGATATTTTACTACATTCGAGTATGCATTTATGTTAAGATTAAGAGGTGGTGCCATCTCCCAACTGTCTGTTAATTAAAATCTGCGTAATATAAACGTTTTCAAGGTTTAGGCACAATTTAAAAAATGCAAAAAGTAAGTCGGAAAAATCAATTAATATGCCTTTTTCATACAGGGACATATATAGTCTCAAAAATTTTATTTTTAAAATGAACTATTTATATTTCCGTTATAAGCGTTTACAATATAGATTAATGAACAATATTTAAAACATTATGGCATTTTTAATAGATATTACATTGTGCGATTACTACGATTAACGGAATAGATTTTACATAGGGTCACCACACCGTCAGAAATCCAGCAATTATTCTTGATGCTAAATGGAAATAAATGTCGTCGAAAATAAATCGAAATTCGCGAACTTTTTTTTTACAAATTTTGTTCTTCACTTTTGCGAAAACTACGTGAATTTCGTTTAATGGAAGTTTCGTTGTAAACCCTAGTTGGAATGATGTGAATCAAAGAATTATTTAGGATGCAGTATTCTTGAAGATCCGCCAAATGGCCGGTTTGATTGCTACATGAACATTACATTAGGTGAACATTTATTTTTTAATTATGTGACTTTACGGACGACCTATACAACCCTACATACATGCAATTTGTTAATAAAAAAGGAATCGTTGACGGAATCTTTCCCATGCCCCCACCATTAGAAATGTACAGTTTGAATTATTCAGAGCGGATTATCTCGAGTGCGGCAAAGTGTTTTCATATTTCCCACTATTGGAAGAGAGGGTATATTACATTCGGCAATAAATAGTATACAAACATCAGTTTTTAAGGCAAATTCTACACAGGAATTAAGTCTTTGCCATAGTCTGAATACCTACATATATCTGTAACCAATACCTACTCCTAAAATGTCTTTATAAGTCTGTTCTAATCCAGGTATAAACTTCAGTATTCTCAGGTATATATCAATCCAGATATAACCTTCTCTATTCTCAGGTATATATCAATCCAGATACAACACTCTATGTTCAAGTAGTATCAAATCCAGAATCAACACTCTCTGTATTCTCAAGTTGGTATCGATCCTGATACAACTACCTTTATGTTCAAGTAGTATCAAATCCAGATACCACACTCTCTATGTTCAAGTTGGTATCAATCCAGATACAACACTCTCTGTATTCTCAATTTGGTATCAATCCTGATACAACTCTCTTTATGCTCAAGTAAGTATCAATCCAGACACAACACTCTCTGTAGTCTGGCGTTTGTATCAATCCTGATACAACTCCTCAAACTCTGTCTTCTCTACCTTACAGCGGTAAATCTGGTCCAATCACAAACCGAGTCTGTAAGTACATGTAAAACAAGTTGACCGATGTATTGTTAAGGTCAATAAACTATCGAATCCGTATTTACAGGTTTCCATGAAAAAAGTTTACCGATGTTAAGGTCAATAAACTACAACAAACAGTACTGTCCTTATTTCTCTATTACATATCTTTGCAACCCAATGTCGTAGACCTTACTTAAGTATAATCCATGATTCCTGTTACATCAAATAATCTAAAAAACGAATTATAAAAGACAGTTTTAGTTATCCCCTTAAATCTAATCTTAAGTTTTTCAGCCCACTGCCCAGGACTTTCACACATTACTTCACATTGTTATCCATAGTTTAATTTGAACTGAGCTGAAAACTTTAGAATGGTGGATATCGAGATCAATGTTAGCTTGATCCTCTCTTTTTGCTAATATCAAGACTAATTTAGTCTCCAGATTAATTCCTAGAGATAAGAGATGCGCTCTTTAACTTTTTAAAACCCGATTTTTAATTTTCCCGCATTGTGGTATCATGTCCATTGGACTAATGATCGATTGAACGAACGTAAGTTCTGGATTAATGTTTATTAAGACTAACGTTCAAAAAGTTGTTTTGTAAATTCCTACTTTCTGTTGAACACTAAATTCCCTCTTCTCCTTGGCTGTTCGTTTTCAGTGGTTCACGGGATATCGAATAAAGATTACATTTATTATCTGTAGATACACAAAAGATTGAGTTCAAGAATTGATCTCAATATCCTCTGATCGCTTAACATTTTTACTTATCTCCATTCTCGAGTTTAATATTTTTCTACCCAAATGTTCGACGATCGTTTTCTTTTGAATCTGTGCTTATTGTGCCCTCCCGGCCCTAACCATAAAGCTGAAACGATTTATTATTAATAAATTTAATTTTTTAGAAAAATGTTTTCTAGTCTGTAATCCTGGCTACGTGCCTTTACAATTCAGAGGAAAGTTTTTTATTCACTAAACGTTTGTTTGTGAATGTGGTCATCCAACAAAATGTTTCGTTAAGAAAAATCTTTAGTTAATTCATACAATTGTTCGTTCATTTTGTTCATTTGTTTGGGAGAGAAATGCACAGTCTGAGCTCTGAAGTCAGAGGTTTTAAGTTTCACCCTGTTACTTGTTTAAACTAAACCCCATTTGTAATTATTTTTGAAAATTCAATTTGCTTGCTCAAATATAGCAACTGTGCAAATATAAGCGGTTTATAAGTCATTTTACATTACACGCTTCAATATCATGAATAATTCAAGGAACATTAATAATTTGGAATCAAATTTCAACTTATCCTGAAAAAGTTGCATGTGGTGCGCGATTCGAGAAACCAGAGGCCGCTCGGCTCAAATATGGTTGGGTCCACCTTATAATTGTATTCAAAGCTTCAAGATTTAGGCCGGAATTTAATTGAAACCGGTTTTAGTGGATTTAAAACGCGGCTCAAATTCATTAAATTCGAACTCAGATGCGGTTATTTTTAGGAAAACATTTTCTGGAAATAAGGAATATATAGAATTGCTCCAATCCCGGAACCTAATTCCGTCCATGTTTTTAAATCCATTTATTTAGAATCTGTTTAAATTTTATTCGTTTATTATCATTTAAACTGAAAACCAAAGTCCGAATATGTTATTTTAATTTAGATTCATAATCCATTATTTAATCTTTTCATTAACATATTCCTTTATCCAATTTACTTAGTTTCCTGTGTTGTTTTATTTATATATTTGTTTATTTTTAAACATTCCGTTACTGGGTTAATTGGTAATACAAAATATCTTCACAACTCAATGTCGTAAACCTTTGATATTTCAAAATTTGACGATTTGATGAAGACAAATTCAAGATTTGAAACATGAAAGGTCTCAGAATACAATCGTCGTCGTATTTATCAATACAATGAAGTTGACTTTCTTTATCAATTTTTTTACTGCCAAGCTTTCAAACAGCATGGATACACATAGACAAGGAAACACAGAGACGCAGATTCTTTTAATGTTTATTTGTAAACTTGTAAATTGAATTATAAGCTCGTTAGAAATAGAAACCTAAATAGAAACCTTGCCCTCATTGTATTGATATAAACGCAAACTGTAAAGGTTACAAAGGTAAAAACTCAGAAGGTTAGAGTATGAGTCGAGTTATCACTTATCATCACTTTTTAGGAGTCTATTGTGAAATTGAGGGAAATTCTGCATCTTGGAACATTACAATGGAAGACTTGAACTGTATTCCTGCTTTTCATATTGCAGTCATAGGAGGCACGCTGAATCCGACTGAGACTAAATCGACAATGGTATGATACATGTTCTTATAATCATTATCACATTTATGTATCCACAATCCACAATCAAAAGCTTATTTACACATTTACAGCTTATTCATATTGAGCAAATCAAAGTTTTTGCGAAATAACTCTGACTTTTTATTCCTTATTTTTTTCGTAACCTTTGATATGTTAAACTAAGAATACTATTAATTTAAAGGAATTGAGTCTTTGCCACAAACTCAAATTTTCTAATACCTGTATTTTCGCAACTTGATGATATAAAATTTTGATATTTCAAACTTAGCTTATTTGAGCTTAAAGCATTCATAGTTTGAAATATCTAATGTCTACGACAGGGTTATTAAGATATAGGGAACAGAAAATTAAAGTTTGTGGCAAAAACTCAATTCCTTCGTCTAAGTTTGAATTGTCAAATGTTTACGCGAACAGGTAGTAAAGAATTTTTATCCCTTAAAGAAAACCTTCTTCGGAATATGCAACTTACCCAATAAAGAGAAAATGATTATATCAAGACTTAAGGACTTAATAATTTTTAACAATTTTAGGGAAGCAAAATTTTGAACATGCAAAACGAGAACAATCCAGTTGTTAAAGATATAAACATCATAGGAAGTACCAATACGTTTATGTTCACAAAACCGGCAGTCCAATTTTTCAAGTATGTATGTTTTATGTCTCATCAAAAAACATTTATTAAAAAAAAATATTAATTGTAGGTTAAATTATATTGTTTTTATGTCAATCAGAATTCAAAGGAAATGCTAACACCTTAATTTTGAATTTAGATATGCCTATCTCACTGCTCAAAAAAGTACCTGGGAGCCAGAAAATCCATATTTTTCGGTCATGTTTTGGATTTTAGAGTTACTCCCAGGGTTTTGGAATAAAAAAATTCGTTACTTCATGTACAAACCAAGAGTTTTAAGAAAACTCTTCTGTATAGCGGAGACTCTTACTGCATGGTGGAAGCTCGGTCTGCCTTGCAAATCTGGGAGGCTTGTGTCCGGAGGCTCATGGCGTCCGGGGGTTCCTTCCCTCGTTGGGGGAAGGGTTGGGTTTTGAAGAATAAAAAAGTTGAATATAATGACAAAAGATTAAATTACACGTTTAGCATTAATTCTAAGAAGTAAAAAATATCAGCTATTACCCACGTAAAAATGGCGTTTACAGTGGCAAGTTGAAAAAGAGAATTTTAATTATATTTTCTTTATCTCACGCTAGACTAATATTGTCTATATCTCACGCTAGACTAATATTGTCTATATCTCACGCTAGACTAATATTTTCTATATCTCACGCTAGACTAATATTTTCTATTTCTCACGCTAGACTTATATTGTCAATATCTCATGCTAGACTAATATTGTTTATTTCTCACGCTAGACTAATATTGTCTATATCTCACGGTAGACTAATATTGTTTATTCTAGATTAATATTGTCTATATCTCACGCTAGATCAATATTGTCTATTTCTCACGCTAGACTAATATTGTCTATCTCTCACGCTAGATTAATATTTTTATATCTCATGCAATATTGTCAAGATCTCACACTAGAGTGATATTGTCTATATCTCACGTTAGACTAATATGGTCTATTGCTAACGCTAGACTAATATTGTCTAATCTCTCCAATTTATACAACTCATAGAATAGATGTCCCATATATGACCTCAACATAAATAATAATTGTAGAATATCAATTGGTAATGTGATAAGAATAACGACCTATATACACCCTTTTATTGTGTGTGAACTCTCCCTTAAAATATAAATATAAATTTCCTATTTTAGGGGAGCTATGATAACAATGGGGGGTTCTTTAACAAAGTCAGGACTGTACATTTACACAGGAACAAGTAATAAACCCATTTAAGGGAGTGATCTGCAAGGTAGGATGTTGAAGTGAACAAGAAATTAGGATTATTTTAACCAAAGGTGTAGTGTATTATTATTACCTAGCAAAAACTTTATTTATATTATTCCACGGACCAAGCTTCATCCGATGTTTTTCAGCAATTGTATTTTTTTTTGGTCATGCAGCAAACCAAGCACAAATCGGGGTTTTAACTCTTTGATTGTTTGCTTCAGATTGGTACAAATTTTTATTCTAAGTTAACAAATTTAAAATACACTTATTGACAGTGCAATAGGATGTTAGGCCATAAATGGCTGAAATTAAATTTTCACCTCAAAAGCCCTCTTTTAAAGTGAGTGACCGGCAATGTATGGTGGTTAAACTGAGTTACATGTAGTATTGTAGAAAATCTTTTTATAATTGATTTGAGACATATAAAACGTTTCCACGATGTATAATTACTGAGTTTGAGCGCAAAGTCGACGTTCAAAATCATGAATTTGAGTGGGTACGCTTCCTGAATTGTTATTTTCAAATTATTAAATAACGACGACAAAAAATAAGGTAAAAATGATATGAAAATGATTCTTCAAATGGCGTCTTTTCAATAAAAAGTTCACAAAATCGGCAGAAAATCTTTGTGAATAATGAGAGATTATAGAAACTAATAATTGAAAAAGATTTCTTATTTTCGATGATAGGAGTTAATTTTTTATTTTCTTAACCTGTTCCTAAACAACTAATTACCTTATTGTAGAATTTCGTTAAAATTTTTTGTCAACGTTAATTAATAATTAAAAAAACGATTCTGAAAACGTACCCACCCAAATTCATGATTTTGAACGTCAATTTGGCTAACTAACTCAGTAAATATACAAGTGGAAACGTTTTATATGTCTCAGATGAATCCTAAAAATTTGTCCACAATACTACATATTCATTCTACATACATTGCCGGTCACCCCCTTTAAACAAAATGTTCACCTCAAACCCCCTCTATGCTGGTCACTTCCTTTAACACAAGATAATTTGTAAAGTAAAATACTTATCTGTTTTCATTAAATTATGCCAACCAACATAATTATATTACCTTTTTAAGTACTTGAGAATGGGGGTAGCTGGTCGCCTTCCTTGTATGAAACCCCTCTTTCAGTTGTGGTCCATGATAGGGTATACTTAATAGGTAAAAAAATTTCCGTTACAGGGAATTTAGTACAGCATTTTCAGGTCTAAAATTAAAAACTGTATTTGTAACTTAATTAAGCCTTTTCTGTGTTTATTGGCGTTTTTTTAACTGCTCCCAATTGTGTAACTTTTCCTTAACAGTCATAAGACATAAGTCAAAACTTCATGTAAAGTAAAACAGATTTTTTTAAAGCGAAATCAGCAAAAGTCAAACAGACTTTTTCAGGCCTTATCTAGTTAGTCAGGCAGTTGACTGAGGGCTTTAAATGTTTTGCTATAATGACTGTTGATGAAATGTTACATTTGAGGACTGTGCCATTTACAAAAGAAAAAACATCTGAAAAACCACAAGAAGCAGATTTAAGTCTTGAAATGAAATTTACGTTTGATTTTAGACCAGTAAATGCACTTGATTTTGGAATTTTTTTTTTAAATGGATCTACACAAAAACCCCTGTGACCATTTCTAAAATTTGATTTTATAACTCTTAGTTTCCCCCGTGTTCTTAAATTTAAGATTTGGCTTAAAAACAGCAATTCGTTCTTAATGTTCTTCATTTTCGAGGGAAAAGTTCTTTTTTTCAAATGTTCTTTAATAAAAATTTCACCTTAAATTTGTTTTTTTTTTCAACATTTTTATCATAAGTCTTACAGTACTTTAATAATAAAAAACTTTGAATAAAAAAATATTCAAAATTCTGAATTCAATCCTCATACCTCCTTCTGTTATATACAGGGAGAACCAGAAAACTGGAATAGGAAACCGACATTTAGAATCAAGTTGTTACTTTAAAAATTCTTATGAGCAAGAGACATAGCAATGTTTAGTGTAAACAGATCCATTTCACTAAATTAGTGATTTGATTATTGTCTGGTAAAACTATTTGCATTGTAACAACATCAAATACTCTAAAGTATTGATATAATGTCGTCTTGCTATTACGTTGTTTTCTCTTTACTGTTCATGTTTCTTTTTAAATTTTTCAAGAGGACCCCGGCTGGAAAGAGGGATGTGTAATTAATAACATATGTGAGAAAAAGTAGAAAAAGTGAAATTTGCGTATGAAGATTAATTTTCAGTTGATTAATTAAGGAAAAATATAAACAAATTCCATTTTTTAAGTCACCTCATTTTTTAAAATCATAAAATATTTTGTTGCATTATACTAAACCTGAAAACTATATGTACTGTACTGAAGTTCCATGTTTACTGTTTAGATCAGGACAGTGTGATGTAAAATATTATGTTCAACATTTTTTGTTTTAAAAATTTAGGTGTTTTGACTTGAAACCTGATGGTTCATTTTCTGAAATTGTTTGTCTCTAGTGTAAAGAAGTAATATAAAACAGGCAGTTTCTTTAAAAATCACTTAATTGGAATTTTGAGCTTCTAGTCAAGCTTTAAAGCTATGTGAAAGAATAACGTCGTTTCTTTGAGAGTTGCGTTTAGAAGACGACATTTCGTTTTGTTAGTTTAAAATTCTGTATTTTTCCCCAAAAATGAATTGAATGGTAAACATTGGCAAGTTACTTGCTCTCGTGTTTTTTAGATTTAATATTGCATATTCAAGTTTAAAGTTTAAAACAAAATCATAAATAATTTATACCTTTTTAAATTGTGGAGGACGCGAAGTATATTTTGATTATCTTTCTTTATTTCCTGATATCTCTCTAAGGCGTTTTAATTGTCTGGAATTTGGAAAAAAGTTCGAAAAATATGATTTATGAAAAGAAATTGACCTGCCCTAAGCACCCACATAAAAAAACAAGACACCCCCCCTCCCCCTTAAACGTTTATCAATACAAACGCTGAAGAAACATTCTGAAAATATTATAAATATATTATTATAAATATATTTGGTGACATTATTATAACTGTAGATACATAATTTACTCAAAATCTAAGAATCTTTATATGAAATAAAATGTACATTCCCACTAGAGTTTCCAGTTTAAGTAAATTTTACTTGCCCGCGATTTTGAGCACTTTAATGCCGCGCAATTCCATGGAATTCCGTGCATTTCCACTCCATAGTACTACTACTAACCAAGCTATGTTCCTTGGTAAGTTGGTACTCCATAGACAACTCTAATTTAATGATATTCAGCTGGATTCTGCAAAGATTGCATTCATGGATATATGAAAGAAACTAGTAAGTTTTTTTTTTATTTCCTGTCATTGACAATCGCCAAAAAAAATGTTAAATTTTTTATATGAAATGAATTAATATTGCTTGGGCCAATGAAAATTGATATCAGACATTGGGCCATTTCAAATTCTAAAAAAATTTATAGTCACAGCAACAAAATCTTATCTTCAATTAGGGAAATATTTAATATATATTTGTTGTATTGCTTGATACAACAATTTTTTGCCCAAGTCACGTTCTCCTCATTTTCTTGTACGAGCCACCTCAAAATCCTTGTCCTTCCAATATTTTTTTTTTTTAAATGTTCAACCCTTGCAAAAAATATATTTTGAAAACCTAGCGATGTTAAGGCAAAAGACATGGTTAGACCAAAGTATTTCAAGGATTTTATCATGTTGTAACTTTTTTCCAAAAATGCCATTTAAAATCTTCGTCCTTACCACTGATGGAGACTGGAGAGGCTTATTTGTAGAACATTGTTTACAAAGCATACTAATTTTTTGCAAGGGTTGGACATTTTAAAAATATTTTGGAAGAAATAGGATTGTGAGGTAGCTTGGACAAGAATGTGGCTCGGATGAGATATTGTTGAGTTGGCCTTCCTTAATCATGTTTAATCGTTTTGTTTTCTTCAGCGGGATATCAAAAATATCTTGAACCAAGAATTCCCTCTATTCCTGTTTTTTCTAATTGTGTTATGAGGTAAATTCAAAATAACTAAAATTTAACGTTAATTGTTAATTGTCTTTAAAATCATTATCACTGACTTGAATCATTTGTCTGTACAGTGCACATTGCAGCATTTTTGAAGCAGCTTTAGAAAAAGACTAAATTCAATTTCTTCTATTTTTACAATGCTGCTCGATTTTAATTTATTTTTCTAGGTATTTAGATAAATATTTGTTAATAATATATGGAAGTTTAAAGTCCCCTACACTATATAACGTGATTACAGGTAAATAACAAAACATATGATTTACATACTTGAGTTCTGCCCTAAATTGTACTGTCTAGATACTTATTATTGTATTTGACAGTTTATGGTAAAAAAAATTATGATGATGGAAAACATTCCAGTTCCAAATTTAATGAATTTGTTGAGGGGACGCTTAACTGCTTGAATTTGGGTGCGCCAGTTCAAATTTGAATCACTGATTCAAACCCTTCCTGACTGTTAACTTTGAGTATGTGGTTCAACTTTGAACCCGCAGCAGGCAGTTTCGCGACTAGAACATTGTTGATCCTGATTTCAAAACTTTTGGTATTAATTTTATTTTTAATTTGTGAATTTTGTATTCATTCTTGAAAATTGTTTTTGTTCTCTTTATTAAAACAATAATTATTTTTGAAAATTTCAGGCGAATACACATCGAACAAAATTCCAATATACCCAGATCAAGGAAGGCTCGACAGTCTTTATAATTTTGCATGCACGACTTTTATGGTAAGCTTAAATTTTGCATGTTAAAAGTTCAAACATAATTTAATAATGGGTTTGAGTATCGAAGGAGGGGCAGCGACCGCTATGAACATAGAACACCACTAATCAACATCTGAAACCACCGAATTTGAGAATTTGCAGAAAGACATCTGAGCCAAGATGCAAAAATATTCTCGCGAAATGCGAAATTTTTGTGAAAACCATTAGTTTTATAGCTGCAACAATTAATTGCTCAAAAGAACTGTGGAATTATCTGCTCTGATCGCTCAACATTTAAGATTTATTATGTCATATACATAATTTCTTTTCCTTTAGTTTGATATATAGGTTTGATGACGAGAATTTGATTTCATAAGCTATCTTTTTAAGTTTCTGTCTAAGCTGAATGCGAAAATTTCGCGAAAATGCAAAATGCTAAATATTTTCGCGAAATGCGAAAGATAAAGTATTTTTTTAAAAACTAACTAGTATAATTTTAACAATAACTCTTATGGTTTCTTATTCCGGCCTGTGATACTGATATTCGCCACTCTTTCTTTTCATTCAGCGGGAGGGGGTGGGGGAGGGGCTCTCAGGTGCTAGGGAGGGGGCTGTGGCTGGTACTGGAGGTTTGTTGAAATTTTGTCTAAGTAACTGTTCTTTTTTATGAGCATTATACAACTAGTTTTTAAATGCTGATATATGAAGTTTACCTTGCCGATGTCATTTTGCAAATTTGGCGGCTCGAATTTTAAAATTTGTGGTTTATGATGGGCACTCAACTCCTCCCTCCAGTACAATGTAAATTAAACAATTAGTTTATTTGGTTCAGGATAAGAATACTGGAGAAGAACTGATAATAATTTCCGGAGGATATATTAATGCCGCTACTCCTGTTGCAGGAGGTACGTTCTAAGAGCTAGGTTAAAAGGGATTGTTTACTAATTTCAAAATACACAAAATACCCTGGATAGGTGAGCAATCACTTTAGTTAATGTTGGTGATGAGCATTGATAATTTGAAACATAAGGTTTACTGTATGTTTCAAATTATCAATGCTCATCGAAATATTTGCTAAAATAAAGGAATCCACAAAATTCTGTAATAAAGTATAATCATAAATTGCTTTGTAACTTGGATTAAACAGGACCTTGCTGGCAGCCGGATAGGATTCATCTGTTCTCTCAAACAATGTTTCTTCTGTTAATTTAAATTAGCAGTTACATTTACAGGAGAGTATTAAGCTGGGAGCAGGAGCAGTAGAAGCTGACCAAACACATAATTGTCAAAGACCTTCAGGAACTGGAGAATCTAGAAGCATATTCTCTGTTTTGTTTGGTTTGTTGTCCTTTTTTATGTGTGGTGCTTGGCCACTTTCAGAACAAGGTGGCTTCTGGAGTTATAAATATTTCAGTTTTCGTCAGAATAGAGTGTGTTGCTTCGCCACTTTCAGATCAAAATGGCTTCTGGAGTTTTCCGTTTTAATCAGAATAGTGTGGTGCTTGGCCAATTTCAGATTAAAATGGCTCCTGGAGTTCTCAACTTGGAGTAAATATGAATTCTGGAGTAATGATTAATCTTGGACTAAGGATTAATCATGGAGTAAGCATGAATCCTGGAGTAAGCATGCATCCTGGAGTAAAGATGAATCCTGAAATAAGGATAAATCCTATAGTAACGAGTTCTCAACCTCAATGAATTAGGGAGTAAGGATGAATCACGGAGTAAAGATGAATCCTGGAGTAAGCTGAAGAGTCCTGGAGTAAGGATGATTCCACAGGAAAAATAAATCAAGGAGTAGGATAAATCCTGGAGTAAGACTGAATCCTGGAGCAAGGATTAATCCTGGAGAAAAAAAATAATCTTTGGGTAAGACTGAATCCTAGAGCAAGGATGAATTCTGGAGCAAAAAGGAATCCTGGGGTAAGGATGAATCCTGGAGTAAGAATGAATCCTGTCGTAAGGATGTATCCTAGAGTAAGGATAAATCCTGGAGTACGCTGATGAGTCCTGGAGTAAGCTGATGACTCCTGGAGTAAGCTGATGAGTTTTGGAGTAAGCTGATGAGTCCTGGAGTAAGCTGATGAGTCCTGGAGTAAGCTGATGAGTCCTGGAGTAAGCTGATGAGTCCTGGAGTAAGCTGATGACTCCTGGAGTAAGCTGATGAGTCCTCAAGTATGAGTCTAAAGGGTAGTTAGAAAAAGTACAGTTTGGATTAAGGACCGGAAGATCTACAGAAGACTATATGTTCATGCTTATCTATCTATAGTTTTTAGGTAAAGTACTTCATGATATGAAGGAAGGGATAAAGTTTGAAGGCCAGATTACGGGGAAGATCTGTTTGTGTCTGAAGTCACTGATTAAAACTATTGGTGGAGAAAACCCAGTCTACCAAAGAAATGCATATACTTGCCTACAACAGATCATATCCCAAGACAGTTCCAGGACCAGTGCCCTATCCTCTGTGTCCTGTACCAGGTTATGACGTAGGCAAGGTACAGAAGCTAAAATCACTAGAACTGTATGACTACCTTACCCTATTCCAGTACACATGGTTAAGGCTAGAGAGGAGAAGATGGTTTTGATAGCCCAAAGATATGCAAATGCAATTATGGGACTTTCTAGGAATAGTCTTGATAGAGCCCTAGTTTCACATTGCCTATGTGAAAGGTGCCTAATCCCAGCAATCCTGTATGACGTACAAGTAGCTATTATACCAGGGCCCTGGTGTTCCAAGGTTTATCCTAAAGCTATCCCAATGAGCAGCACAAATATCCAGTGCTATTAATGCTGGACTTATGCCCATGCAGGATAAGGGTCTTAAAGATGTGTTTGAGCTTGTAGTGAGGTCACCTGCAGACCCATGGGCTTCCCAGGTGAAATCCCTCATGGACAAGATGGGTTGCCATTTGTTCAAGGCCCGAAGTAGAGATGTTAAAGTTCTGACTTTTTAAAAAAACGATCATTTTGTTATGAAACGACAAGGAAAAATGAAAAAGTAACAATCTTTTTCAAAATGATTGTTTTAAAAAAAGTTTGTTTTTATTAACAGTGATTTTGAAAACGATTTTTTTTTCCAAACAATTGTTCTCATAAGGCTGTTTGTTTCGTTTATGATTTTCATTGTTTCATTAACAACCTGGATAAGGAGAAATACCAGGGTTCCAGGTGAACTGGTTATAGGCGGATGTGGCCTAATACTATGACAGTGGTCAGGGGGATTCCACACTTGGAATCTTGATTTTACCTAGATCATTGCTTATTTATTTATAACTAATGCAGTTAATTTGAACTATTTTTAGACATCTTTTTGAACATTCATATTTCCAGGTGTTCATGTCTTTACTCCATCTTTAGGGTCTTGGAAAACTATATCTCAGTTCAATCATCCCAGGTTATAGAACTTTAATATTCTTTCTAAAAACATGTCTAATCTCTTTTATTGTGTTAAAACCCCATCTTGTTGATTTGCAATTACATAAAGTGACTGTAAACATAATTAAAAATTACCATTCGTTTACAGAATGGAATGTCTGATATTTAATATTAGAATCAGGATTATCAAACTTTTTGCCTTTTCTAAAAAGTAAAAACTACCTGAAAACTAGTAAAAATTGTTTATATGTATAATTCGTTGGCTGCCTATATTTATTTGTTGTTGAAAATATAGGTAAAGTACACTCAATGTTAGGTACAGGGTGTCCCACAAAATATGCTAGGCAATTAAGAGGCAATTAAATGGTTGTTAATAACCTTTGACATAATTTTCAGTATTTATTAGTCAACAAAAAGTGGGTTTCCTTTCTTGCGATTTTAAACGTCACTTAGAATTAAATTTTTAAAATAAAACGAAAATTGTCTTAATGCGTCCTATTTCTTTATCGGGTTTGAAGCAATACAACCATTTTTTTGATAAATACATGTATGATAAAATCAATTTTTGGGACATCTTTTAACTGTAAAGTTTAGTGGGACACATGGTACAATTTGTAGTGTAATTTATGTATATAGTAACATCTGCCAAAATTCTAGACGTGCTCATAATGTTGTTGTAACAGCAAATGGAGTCTTTGCTGTTGGAGGAATTGGGGCGTTACCAGGAGATATGAGTATGAAACCGGTAACACATCAAAACACACATTTAAGGGGCTTCATAATCTCAAGTATATATTCTCAATAATCAGTTTTTATGATTCATTTAAAGTTTTCCAATCTCTTTTGTGGAAGTAAAGAATTTGAGTGCACAGTATTTAAGTGCAAATTCGGTGTGTTCAGCAGAACTTTTAATGGGAAAAGTATTTACCAGTTAGATCGGAAATTAGATCACAAATTAGGCGAGTAGCCAAAAAAAATGGAAGATTTGAACCAAAAATAAAGACAGGGACCCTCCTTCCCTACTCTAAAAAATTTCAAATTTTCATCTAACAAAATTTGTTGGAGCAATGGCATCAAATTCATTCACTTTAGCAGAATCATTCAACAAAACTTGACAGATGATTCTGCTAAGGTAAAATTGATGCTGTTGCTCCAACAATTTTGTAAGATGAAAGTTTGAAATTTCTTGGAGTGCTATCAATTAGGACATCTCCAACATTCCTGGGTAACCCCTTTCATATTTTCCAAATTCACTCCCATTAAAAAAAAAATAGTTACAATTTTTCCAACCCATGGCTGGACAAAAGAATTCTTGCTGAATGAAAATTTTTATTTTAAGATCGAAAAGTTGAATATGGCAACTATGAAATGGGTAGTAGTATCAAATCTACAAACTGGATACGACCAAGGAGTTCTTGCAGTCCCAGGCTCAATTCTCTAAACTTATCTTTGCTCAAGCAAAGGAGGTTAATAAAAGATCAATTAACTATAAGTTAAACCTATTTGTGTGTATCAAGTTGGGATCAAGCATTGATCTCCATATCTTAATAGAAATTTTGTTTTTCGCTTATAATTATTTTTTTTTCATCATTACTCCTCATTTATAGGTGATCTTAGTTTATTATATTTATCGAAATATTTTTATGTTTTTATAATTCCAAGTTACTTTCAATACAAAGAGGGGCAAGCCCACGTAGATCCAGGCTGCTTTGAAAGTTGCATCAATTTTCTTATATTTCGTCTAATTTTTTTTTTGTGCTTTTGGCTCTTGGTAAATTTTAAGCATCATGAACACACTTTTTACCGTGACGATATCATTTTAATTAATAATTTCAAAATTAAAAAGATACTTCTGTCTTTTTAATAATAAAAGTTGAAGGATTTATTGCTTGCTTTCTATTTTCTACTCCTCAAATAGCCCATATGAGTGAACACAGCATTTCCAAAGCTTTTAAAATTTGCTTTTTAGAAGATGAAATTAAATTCTAGCTTGCAGGCAAAACATAGTACAGAATTACAGTTTCTAGCCAATAAACGGTTTTGTTTAAGTTAATAGATATTACCTAAAACTATGATATTCTAAATCTGTTACTGATATCAATATTAAGAAATAAACATTATAAACATTATCTATCTATATCTTTATACATCTGCTTATTGCTTTTCCTTATCCATGCTTTTAAATGTATATTTTTATTATAAGAATAATGACATGCAATTTATAATGTATCGATGTAACTTCTAGAAAAATATTCATTTTGTTTTTTATTTCAACTTAATTAATTTCTATTTAGCTCTGATAAAAGCCTAATCAAATATGTGTTTAAATAATTACACAAACACACACAAAATCCTACTCTTGCTGGGGATGGGAGCCAGCCAAAACTAGTTCTCGTCCGAGCAGCATTGTTCTCGGTTTCTCATCCAAGCCACATTCTCCTCATTTTCTCTTCCAAGCTACATTCTCCTCATTTTCTTGTCCGAGCCACCTTGAAATCCTCACCTTACCTTCCAAAATTATTTTTTAAGTGTCTAATCCTTTAAGATTAAAAAGGGCATAAATGAACTATTGAATTATTGTCTTCAATAATACAATATTAATATACCACAGGAAATATTACAGAAAATATATATTATGTTAATTGGATCTACAGTGTTGGATGTTAGGACACTTTGAAGAAAGACATTTCAGAGACAGAAAATCAGAATTATTTTTCGACTGAGAGTATCAACATTTTTGCCCTAAAACATATTTATCAAAGCAAATTTGGAAAAACATTTTCATTAGAAAACAATTAAAGAATTAAATTCTGTTTGGTCAGATCTAAACTCCTGCATGCAAATGTAAAGAAGCAAAAGTGTTATCTCCAGATGATAACATTTACATTCTATATTGATCTAGCTGATCAGCTAAGCAGTGATGAAAATGTTTTTATCTTGGAGAGTTACATTTCAAATTTTAGGTTAGTCCAATAAACTTAATTTTGTCAAAGCTGGTACATGTTTTTATATCTTAAAATTAGGTTTTTTTGAGAACTTGAAAAGGGTTGTTTTTTTTACAAGTACTGTATAGGGAAGTTAAGGAAATTCAGAGTAGCCATGTATGTCTTGTAGAGAAAATTGGCAGCGGGAACTTGTGATAAAGTATAGATTTTATTTTCCAGAAAAATTTGTCTAGTTCAAAACTTTATTAAGACTTTTTGTTCCCAGTTTGTGGACTAGTTATCAAAAGTAGACTTTTATCCGACTTAAAATCAACTTTAAAGTCAAATTTTCCTGAAACAGTTTTAAGCTAGTATATTTCATCACAGTTCTTGCACTTGCAAATTCATCTCTTTAAACTCTTAAAAACCTGAAATAATTTTTTAAAATTTTAAATTCTGGAAGACAGAAAATATTATATTGATTTCCTCACTTAAAAATGTGTTTAGAACATGATCTGGCTAGCTCTTATTTTTCCAATATCCGCAAGGAGTTTTGATTATTTGAAATCTAGAGAAATAAAATTGGAAAAAAAATGGCCTATGATAAGAATTAGGCTGCCTGCCTAAGCACTCAAATAGAAAACAAGACACCCCACCCCACATACACTGAAGAAATATCCGAAAATGTTGTATCTTAAGAAAATCGCATATTTCAGTACTCTGCAGCATTAGTGAAGGTCTAATTCAAAATGACTGGGACACACTAGCTTATGAAACCACTATCAGGTATTTTTTGTAAAAACAAGAATCTTTTCCAGTATTTTAGAATCATTAATACAGTTAAACTCATGAAACTTTGAAGACATCAAAAGTATTTATAAAATGTTGTTTACTTAACCTATAGATAATGAAATGCCAAAGATGTTTAAATTATTAATCAAATAATTATATGGAGCTCTTTAAACCTGTTCCTGCAAGCTTGATATATTATTCATATATTTTTACAATTTCTTAGATTTAGGTAAATTAGTTTGAAACACATTGAAAAATTGTCAAGTCAACATTCTAATTATTCTTTCAATGTTTCCAAACTTCTGGGTTAGGGTTTCCAGCAAAGAGGAAAAATTGTTTCGTGATAAATTTGCATTTTTAACGACCGTTTCTTTTTATTTTAGCATTGGTTTGCTAGCAATTAATGTGAAAATCTTCGCTAAAATTTTGCAAAAAAATAATGTGAAAAAATTCCTAAGATCATAAGATTTAAAACCATTCTTTCTTGTGATGAATCACAATCAAACATTATTACAGTAAAGGAAGAGAAATTATTTTTATGACATAAGAAAACTTCAAATATTGAGCTATCAGACTAGAGAATTCCACAGTTCTTTTGAGCCAATAATTGTTGCAGCAATAAAACTCATGGTTTACACAAAATTTTCTAATTTTCTCAAAAGTTTTGCATGACACGAAAATATTTTCGCAAAATTTTCGCATTTTGCAAATGCGATGGAAAATTTTCGCATATTTTTCACAAAATGTTTTGTTCGCTGGAAACCCAAGTTTAACCCAGATTTTGGGTTAAACTGCACCAAGATGTAAATAATTTCCTTTTATTAGGTATTTCAATCCATCTAAGTTTACTGGAGGTGAAGAGGATATTTGGACTGAACTGGGAGAAGATATTTCGTGCTATGTCCATGAAGATCTCAGTGTTGACATAACTCTTCCAGAGGACTTTAGTTCAGACAAGGGAATCAAAGTCTATACCCATGGTTTCAGTGCTGATGTTTCAAGAGCTGTTGTTTATGTTAAAGCATGGATGGAAGCACATGATGTCAATGTTATTCTTGTGGAATGGAAAAATTTGGCCTTTGCTGGTCAGATAACTGACTGGGATAGCTATTCCTATGATTCAGCAGCACGCAACAGCATTGACATAGGAGAATATCTAGGACACTGTATTCATTCTTTGACAAAGACCAAAGGAATAGATCCTTCTACAGTTCATCTCACTGGCCATAGTTTAGGTGCCCACTTAATGGGTAAAGCAGCTAGACAGTATAGAGATTTACAGGGTGAAAGACTAGGAAGAGTATCAGGATTAGATCCTGCTGGTCCAAGGTTTATAGATGGACCTATCATGTCTGCAATTCCAGAGCTTCATGATAACCGACTTAACCATGAATCAGCAAGTTTTGTAGACATCATTCATACTGATGGTTCCTTTACCCCAGCAGCTGTATGGGTAGAACCTAGGCTAGGAGATCTTAATCAGCTAGGTCATATGGATTTCTATCCAGTGGGAGGAGAAGAACAGCCTGGATGTACACTTGGAGGCTCTGATGCTTTGCCATTTAGTGTCTGCAGTCATAATAGGGCCATGTACTACTTCTTTCATTCTATTCTGGAGAAAAATTTGTTTCCAAGCCAAGTTTGCATCAATGTAACAAGTTGTAATCAGGGTGAGATTGTTTCTGATGATATAATTGCTTACATGGGAGACTTAAGTCAGGTAACAAGTGTTTTACTTTAATCATTAAAAAATGTCTTGACGCTTGGTGATGACGTTTAAAATATTTATATTTATTTTTAGCAGTATTACTCAAATGAACGCCAGCTCTTCTTTGTGAATGTTAAGGATGAACACTGGGATTTCCAAACTCATTATTAATCCATGTATTTTTATATTAATAACATGTTAAACATAAATATTTATTTTTTTGCAACTAGAATTGAACAAATACCAGTCCATATATTTCTACAAGAACATTACAAATGTACAACTGTTATCTTAAGGTCTAGAAAAATTTTAGAACTAATTTGTAATGCAGCAAAAAATATTGTGCTCAAGATTACAATTAAAAAAAGTTTCATCTTGTCTTTATCTTGTCAAGCAGAACTAAATTTACGTCAGCAAAGAAGCACTCAGTAAGATTAGTTTTATCTGGGAGTTAGAGAATGAGGACACTAATTTTTCTAATCTGTAACTTTATTGTAAGTTTTGCCATACCACAAGTTAAAGATAGAGGTAATTGTCCATCAATAATAGTTTACAGAACTTTCTGTCTATCCTGGCTATGCTTTTTTAACTATTATGATTGTATTGATTTTTATCTTTTGAGATTGTATTACTTTTTGAAAAAAAAAATGTAACTCATTGTTTGAATATGATTATAAATATTACATCTTCCTTTGTAACATTTGACGAGGCAAATTATGTTCATTGAAAAATCTTGTCTTGATCTATAGAGTTTACCAAAGAATCTTTAACCCTGGAATAATTGTGTTAAAAAAGTGTATAATTTTGAACAAAACATTTTAAGAACTTAAATGCAAAACTTAAAAATCCATATTATGGTAATACTAGGTGTAAGTAGGTTGATTCAAAATGACTGGGAAACTCTAGCTGAAGGGACAACTTTAAGGTTAATAAAAAAATCCTGAAGCTATATTTTAATGACACTGTTACTGCATATTCTTTTTACAGGTACTTTAATCCAGACAAATATTATACTGGAGCATCAGAAGATGATATCTGGGAAAAAATGGGAGAGGACATTATTTGTAAAGTGGATGACAATCTAAATGTAAATCTATTGGTTCCAGGAGGCTTTAATTCAAATAAACCCTTTAAACTTATGACTCATGGATTTTCATCCAAGGTTACAGGAGGCAAAACTGCATTTGTAAATGCTTGGATGCAGGCATATGCACAAGAAGTTAATGTAATTCTTGTCAATTGGCCTGACCTTGCTTTTATTGGTCAGGTAGAGGATTGGGACAATTTAGCATATGATTCTGCAGCTCGTAATTCTATTGATGTTGGTGAGTACCTAGGTCAATGCTTGGGAGCTTTGTCCTCCCAAGGAGGTATACCAGGAAGCAGTTTTCATCTTGCTGGTCATAGTTTGGGAGCACATCTAATTGGGAAAGCTGGGAGAACCTTTAAAGAAGTAACAGGTCAACCTTTAGCTCGCTTGACAGGTTGTGATCCGGCAGGACCAAGATTTATAGATGGTCCATTGCTTGATGCAATTCCAGAATTACACAAAAATAGAATCAGTCCTGAATCTGCTGCATTTGTTGATATTATCCATACTGATGCTTCCTTAGAACCAGCTGGAGTTTGGATAATACCAAGACTTGGTGATCTTAACCCTCTTGGTCATATGGATTTCTACCCAGATGGAGGTTCATCTCAACCAGGATGTGGAATTTTCGGACCAGATTATCTACCAGCAGACATCTGCAGTCATAAGAGATCCTATTATTACTTGCTTCATTCCATCTTGGAACCAATGCTGTTTCCAAGCAAAGAGTGCAAAGATGTAGAAGTTTGCCATGATGAAGAAGTGATATCTAATGATATTGTTGCATTCATGGGAGAAAAAGCACAGGTTCATACATTTTTTATTTAAATTGTTATATGAATTTAATAATTTTAATTTAAGGATTATTACACTGGAGAAAGGAAGCTATATTTTCTCACAATTGATGATGATCACTGGGATTACAATGAACACAATTGATTTTGAAATTATTCAATAGTAAAAATAAATGTAATCTTGTTATTCACTTAAGTGTTTGTGAATTTTAGAATAACTTATAACATGCAAAATGATGATTATTTAGAAATGGATGAGGTTTCTTGTTAATAGTTTACAATGATCAATTTGTGTTTTAATTGGATTTATTCAAAACTAGTTTAGAAACATAGCTCTGTCCAGATACTGAGTTTTCCCTCTAAAAATTAAACTACTTAACTTAAAATCTTAAAAATGGTTCCTAATCAAATTTTACTCAAAATGGCCAAGGGCTTCATGAGTTATGATGGGACATACAAATAACAGATAAAATAGAGATTACAATTTTATATTTGGATGGGGGACTGCATCCAGAAATGACCATCTCCAATTTGGCTGAAATATTCCACATAGCCTAATGTTTAGAAAAAAAAACATTTTTTGTTTTGGACCTCTGGGGTTGGAGCTAGGGGTTAGAAAAAATTTGTTAAAAAAATTTATTTCTAAATCCTTCAACTTTTTGTTTTGAAAAGTAAATAAAAATTATAACTAACATTTAAACAACAAACTATATAAAAGAAGTAACATATTACACACAATAATCATAGAATTGCACAATGTTAAACTTAATTTTGCACAGGTGCTAAAAATTGCATGCAAGTGAAAACCACTTGAGTTGCAAGCCATATATTATGTATGCCTTTTGTTTGGTATTAAGATTTACAATATTTATTTAAGTATTTAGTGATAACTTATAAATAAAAATTCACCATCTTATACACTCTGTATAAATCATAAAAAAAATTAGTTGAAACTTAGATATTCTTATCTTTATTCTCAGCAAGCTTAAAATTCTTACAATACAAATATAAGAAAGCTCAGTTGAACTTCAATCACAAGAATGAACATTATTGTACTTTTACTGTTGCTGATTTTATCCACTACGGCTTTTTCAAACAAAAGTATGATTAAAAATCAAAGACTTAAAAATATAATATAACAAATTTTTTAAATAGTTTTTACTAGATGGTGAACGTCTGATTCAAAATGACTGGGAAACTCTTGCAAGATATACAACTATAAAGTAAGCCTATTCTGCATTTGCTTTCCTGTGTTTGGCAGCTATTTAATGAAGTATTTCGTTTTGTAATCAACATATGTGTAAAAAAGTCTTATTCCAATGCAAAATACTAAAATAACTTTTCTTTTTTTTCGAGGTACTTCAGTTCTTCAAATCACAATACTGGTGGGTCCATTCAAGCTAAGTGGGATATTGAAGGAGAAATCAAATGCACTGTTTATGATGACCTTCATGTTGATCTTATACTTCCTGATGGATTTGATTCTACCAAAACATTCAAAGCTATGACCCATGGCTTCATGGACACAGTAAATGATGGCAAAATAGCTTTTGTAGATGCTTGGATGGAGAGTAATAATTTTAATGTAAATGGAATTCTAGTAGATTGGTCTGAATTAGCTTTTGTTGCAATTGTGGATTGGGACAGTATTATCTATGATGCTGCTGCCCGTAATGCTATTGATGTTGGTGAGTACCTCGGTCATTGTTTAGGAGCTTTGTCATCCCAAGCAGGTATTCAAGGAGGCAATTTCCATCTTGCTGGGCACAGTCTAGGAGCACATCTTATGGGGAAAGCTGGAAGAACCTTTAGAGAAGTTACAGGCCAATTCATTGATCGCATAACTGGTTGTGATCCAGCTGGTCCAAGATTTGTTGATGGTCCATTACTACCAGCAATACCAGAATTACACAATAACAGAATAAATCCGGAATCTGCTGCATTTGTAGATATTATCCATACAGATGCTTCCTTGGAGCCCGCTGCAGTTTGGATAATACCAAGACTGGGAGATCTTCACCCTCTTGGTCATATGGATTTCTACCCAGATGGAGGGTCTGCACAAAACGGATGTGGGTTTTTAGGTCCTGATGGTATACCAGGGGGTGTTTGCAGTCATAGACGATCCTATTTGTACCTACTTCATTCCTTTCTGGAACCAGATCTTTTTCCCAGTAAAGAGTGTGCAGATGTTGAGGCATGCAGTGAAGGACAAGTTATATCTGAAGATGTTGTCGCTTTCATGGGAGAGAAAGCTCAGGTATTTAATCGTTTCTGTATTTTAGCCTTGTATTTTCTCCTGTAATTTCGGAATTTAAAAGTTTATGTTCAATTTCCATAGAACAGTGCATAAACTTATTTATTGTTGTTGTTAAGATAGTTTAAATTATAGCTTTTGTTGGGCGTTCAATTTCTTTCACTTTTAAGACTTCCTAGGTTTTTGGACTTTTAAAAGATTCAACAAAATTTTGAACAGTTTTACAAACTTTAAAACGTTTTTTCCTGATTATTTGCCTTTCTTACACTTTAAAAATTTCAACCATAGGAGAAAATATTTACCTTGAAAAAACCAAATAAATGATTGTTTATTTGGTTAGTTTTTTTAGTTGGTTCGACCAAATAATGTTACATAGTGTAAGAAAAGCAAAGGTTTAGAGTAAACTAAATAAACAGTTTTAAACTTGAAAAACTTTTCTAAATTTTGTGGAACCAAAAACCTCAAAAGTGTTAAAAAATTAACTAAAGCAAATGCCCAACAAACTAATTATAACCAGGTGCTAATTGATTCACAGATTTTTTTTATGTTTCTTAATAACTCTTTTTTTAAAAACCAAAATAAAAGTTTATTTTGTTTATATACATATTCATGCTTTTAAAGTTTTTTTTCTAGGAATACTTCACTGGGGAAAGAAAGCTCTTCTTTCTAAGCATTGAAGATGATCATTGGGATTTTGATGAGCACAACTAATATATAAAGAAACTTACAAGATTTTGATAGTTATAAGAAATAAAAAATCAAAGATATCATTTGGTACTTAAAATTTTGCTGAAGATTCTGAAATATCTGATAGAACTGAAAATGTTTTGGACCCATTTAAGAAATATATCAGTTTAAAAGTAAAACATTATTACCAACATTTGTTAACTATATAAAAAAAAGGAGACAATTCAAACCAATATTACCACCACTGTACGGGTCTGAACCTATGTATAGCCGGGGCCCAGGGGTGGGGGAGGGATGGAAGGCACAGCTGCCGAACCTCATTTTACCTATTTGCGGCAGGGCTTCCGAACCTACCCTAAACAGTCTTCTGGGAATGATATTCTGTTTATAATCCTCAATTTCTACTTTAAAAAAAAAGACTAATTTGGTTATTAAAGCATGATAGTCCATCCATAGTATCCTTAACATTTTCACAATATTTTTATTTCTTTTAAAAAAAAAGTTGGACTGGAAAACCCAAAACTTTGCTACATATCCCATTTCAATTCACCCTCCCCTCCCCCCATTTGTATAAATTTACAGCTGTGATTGGTTAGGTTGAAGCTGCATTTTTTTGATGAATATTTTGCAAAAAGTTTGCATAGTTTTAAATTCCGATTTTTTTGCTTTCTTTTTTAGCGAAATTAATATAAAATCTTTGGTTTTTCGTCTGCAAACAGGTAGAAGTTGCAAGGTACCTAATCAGAGCCGCGGCATAAAGAAAACCTAACCAATCACAGCTGTAAATTTCTGCCAATGGTTTTCGCGAAAAATAAATTTTTGGGAAAATATTTCGTTTTTTTGCATTTTTTGTTTCATTCATATTCGCGAAATTCCGCGAAAAAGTTTACGAAATACGAATGAAAATTTTCGCATTTTTTGGTGAAACGTTTCGTTCGCTGAAACCCTATATGCAGTCTTGATTTCGTAATTGTTGATAAATCATAAAAGTTTTACTTACTTTTCATCAGTCCGATAGATTTAAAGTTTAAACAACCCCTGCCAGAAATAGAATATGATTCTTCCTATCTTTAGAATTAAGTTTATTATGATTTTATAAACATTAAAGCACATTTTAGTTTTTAGTCACAAAAAAACGAAACAATCGATAGTATTTTATATAAATTTTTTTTATACTGAGATATCTAGTATCCTGGACCTATTCTTGCCATTCTTATTCTATCCTTCAATATATCTAAAATTTTCTTGTCTGCAAGATGGCTGAGTGAAAAATTTAAAAATAAAATTCTAAAGCAATAATTTTACATATATGAGTAATTTTCTATTTAAGAGCTCTTAAAATACTCACTTTGAATGCTAGTTCCATGAAAATATTGCACTCCCTCCTTGCTCACAAGTTTTGCGCGGTCTAGTCTCACTTAATCACAGTATCAGCTTTGCTAAGAACAGACTACTGTGCAGACACAGCCTTTATCTTACATCAGTAGCTTTTGTTGTATTCAGGACTGATCCAGAAAAGGTGAACAGTCCCTTTGATATACTGAGTACTGATTATAAGTTAGCAGCAGACACTATATATTACGAAATCTATAGTTTCTTCGATTTATGAAAATTAATCAAATTTAAAATTCTATGAATTTCAATTAAAGCGATCATACAGTGAAACCCTTAATAACGAATACATCGAAAGAATTCATCAAATGTCGTATTCTTCACTTTCTGATAATGGAATGTTGCAGATATTTAGTTTTTTAATTAAATGATTATATGGAACTCTTTAAAACTGTTCCCACATATTCATGACTATATATTTATTTTCGCAAATGCTGAAATTTACGTAATATAGTAAAAAACTCATTGAAAAATTGTCAAGACGACATTTGATTAATTCTTCCGATGTATTCAATATTAAGGGTTTCACTGTAATTAAATTAATGTCAGCACACGGAGTAATATTTCAAGTTCTAGACGAATTTTGAACGATATTCCGTGCATTTTTATATATAAATCTGACACAAATAATAAATTCATGTGCAAACTATTAAATATAAATTTATTGCAGTGTATCTTATAAAAAATGATTACTAAACATTGTCATATTACCGATTTGCAACTGAATTATTACTTGCACAATGGACATTTTGCAAGTAAAAATTTGGACGAATCAACCCATATTAAATTGACAAAGATTTAAATATGAAGACCCTCAATGTCAAAGACGACATTTATACTGTTCTTAATTGTTCAAAATGCAGTAACTTAGGGCTAGAAAAATGCTGCATTGAAAATATGAGATGCTCTATGGGGATAGATACTTACATGATACTGAAAAAACCAGACCATTGCCAGTTAGCTAAAATACGAAGCATGACTGTCAAAGAGATCCAGTTCAATCACAAGGGTTGTCCTGAACTTTACTTGGTTACCAAGGAGCACCAGATCATCCTCCGACAACTTGATTTCAATAATCCTGGCTCAAAGTACCCTCAAAGTGCTTGATTGGAAATCCTTTTTGATGGGTACCTTAGAAGCATGGGGACTCTATGTCAGTTGTATTGTGATGCTTTACTTGATGGGGGAGCTTGTTTATATTTGGTCATGTGTATTATCATGACACTTAAAAAAGGGGTTACCTGGATCACGGCATTCAAACTCAACACGTTTCTAATGACTGAGTTCAGGAACAATCTCATTCAGACCCTCAATGAACCAGAGAGGGGTCCCATAGTTGGACAACCACAGGAGATTGAGTTGGAAGAGATTCATTTTGGTCTGATCCCTCTGGTGATGATGATGGTTTAACCAATTTCAGCCATCCATGTATCAGGGGGATTTTGTTGTATTCGGGACTGATCCAGAAAAGGTCCCTTTGATACACTGAGGGATCTAACTATGAGTCAGTACAACACAAGCAGTAGCAGTAGACATAATTGCCGCTCGGGGTCTTGTGCCACATACAGTGCACAGAACATATAAAGTTTCAGTGTTTCCAGTAAACAGCATATGTTGGAGCCTCCGAGGATGACGATGATGAGACAGATCCCCTGGATCTAATCCCATTGGAGAGTTGTTTAGCTCTGATTGTTACAGCCCCTGTAGAAGACGAGGACAAGGATGGAAGTATCCCTAGCTTGCTACTGATCATTCATCAGATGAGGACAAGAACAATGCCCTTGGAGTTTAAAAAACGCTGAAAAGCCTAAGGTGCCACTGAATTTGCGTCTAATCTATGTATTATTCTTCAGGGGCGTGCCCCCCCTGAGAGGCTGAGAAGGGCACCCATGGGGGAGGCTATTTTAATATTACATCTGCTTGCATTTCCCTTCCTTAGGCCAGACACAATGGCGTACCTAGGGGGGTAGTAGTCCTCTTGCCCCCCCTGAGAGTTCCAGGCGGGGTCCTGCCCCCCCTGGAAAATACAAATTAAAAGGAAACTACGTTTAAAAAGTAACACCTGACAATGATAAAGACTAAGGATTTGTCTAAATTCACTGTTAATACAAGACAAGGAGAACCCCCTAAACAAAAGCCCTCGGACGCCCTTGTTATTCTTTAAGAATATGTATGCATTTTTCCTGTCTAGATGTCTCTAATTATTTCGGTCGGCTTTACCAAAATGTCTTGAGGTGCGAATGAGAGCCCAGGCCGGAGTATAGTGGGGCTCTGATTGGTTGAATTTTAGATTCATATATTCCCTGGAATTGTTTCTTGAAATTTAACGAAATATTAGGAATAACGAAATGTGCAAAAACCAAGATTTTCTTCGTTATTTGCATGAAATAGCTTTTGCGCATCAATGGGAAATTATATCAAAACTTTGAATTTTTACTCGAAACGTAAGCAAATTTTGCGCAATTATTGCGCAAAAAATTATACACACACCATCCCTTCTCTACAATTTTTTTCCTATTTTTACAGATTTTCATTTTTTAAAACAAAGGAATTGAGTCTTTGTCACAAACTATGATTTTCGAATCCTTATATCTGTTTAATCCAATGCCGTAGACCTTATATTTCAAACTATGAATTCTGTTAGATGAAAAAAATCTAAGTTTGAAATATCAAATATAGGTATTAGAAAATCAGAGTTTGTTACAAAGACTCAATTCCTTTATGCAATTTTTTCACAATTTCATCATTTCCCTTTTCATTGTGATGTGAATTTATTCATAAATTAATCAATTGAATCCATCTATATCTGATTGAATCATAAACTTCCAAGAATGGATTAAGTCACTCTTTTTATGGCAAAAATCATGAATCATGAAGTAACGTCATTTTTAATGACGTAACATGCAGAAGGGGGGGGGGTCCAAGTTCAAACCACCACTTTTTGTGTCCTATAGGCAAAATAAACCATGCGTTCATGTTGTACAGTAAGTAGTGCTGGGCATGTTCTTCTTTTTGAGATTTTTCTTTCACGTTCGTTACCGAGGACTTTTGTGCTTCGTTCGTTCTTTCCCTAATCGTTCTGCCTGTTTATCAAAGAAACAACCAGTTACGACCCTGGATTCAAAAGTATTTTTATTTCAACCAAACTTAGCAACCATGCGTGTTTTCGTTGATTTATGCTCGTTCCTATAATTTTTAATAATTTGTATTTTTTTGCTTAAATGCTTATCATATTAAATATATGATGTATAAGGTTTATTTTTAGATCTCTTAGAAATCCTCTTGGGGAGGGAACCCCCAGACGCCATGAGCCCCCGCTATGCAGACACCAGCCTCCCAGAGTTGCTAGGCAGACCAAGCCTCCGCTTTGCAGATATGAGCATGCACAACACATCAAAATGTGCCTGTGTAATACAGGAGGTTTTTTAAACTTGTGTTTTATGTTTAAATAAAAGATTTTTTTTTGAAATTTTTAGACATAGTGGCATGAGAGGCTTCTCAAAGATGAAAAGTATTCATTGATTATCATAAATAGTGCCTAATTATGATTAATAAAGTGGTATCTAAAACTTTAGACATTTTTTAGACGAAAAGGAAAAAATTTGAATTGAATTTCATTTCATCTTTTATAATCTTTGATCTTAGCGATACCTTTTTTGAAGTTCAAATTAAATCTAAAAAATTTGTATTT